GGGTCTGGTTGAAATGATAAATTACAAATAATCCGATCGGCTCGATTCATTGGCGTTGCGTAGAGATTGATATTGCATCTCTTGCGTATTTTGTCGCGTCTATCACGGGGAATGCTCTGAGGTATTGTTCGGACTAATTCCAGCCGCTCAATTTCACCATGGCACATCGCGACAAAACTCGCGATAGCATCCATACCATCTCTATGATTGGCGGTCCACCACTGTGCGATTTAGAAGATTTTTTCTTCCTCGCACAACTCCCTTATGGAATCGATTACCACCAGCGATTTTTCCGGACCGATACGACTTAGGGACCTTCAAGAAAAGAGCCTACTCCTTTTTAAAAGGCCAGCAACACATCTGTAATTCCTCTGGTTCGCCTGGTGTTGCAGTTGTTCATGCGCAGCGGTAGTCACCATCAGGTGAGCCGCATGCTCGTTTGCCCCCTCTCCTATAAGAAAAGGCCCAAAGCCAGAAGGCATGAAACAATATAAATACAGGTACGAGTATCCCGGGTATCGCTACTGTTCTTATACTTTCTATCAAGTTTTCTACCGACTTCAATAAGGAGGCGGTACTCAATTCGACTGTATGTTTTTTTAACGTGTGTTACTTCAAAACTTTTTACGGGGTGAACCGATTTCGATGATTTTTTTTTATTTGAAAGCTGGTTCTTCACATGTTTTATTTATTTATTTATTTGAAAACTTTATTGCGTCCCTTTACAAAAAAAAAGTATACACAGGGCGGACATAATGCCTAAAGCAGGGGTCGGCAACCTTTTGAGTCGGAAGAGCCAAAAATTACAATTTACAAAATTTCAAAGTTTTTAAAGAGCCACAATTTTTTTTCTTGCCAACCATAAATAGTACTTCCATAAATAAAGTTTCTTGATAAGAAAAACTAACAGCCTTTCACAAGTCTACTGCTGAACATAAGCCTCCCCCAAGGAATGCCACAAAGCACGGTCCTGAGCCACCTGCATCCATCGACTTCCTGCATGTCTTACCAGGTTATCACTCCATCTTGTGGAGGGTCGCACTGCACTTCGCCTACCGGTACGAGGCTGCCTCTCGAGAACCTTTCTTCCCGATCGGTTGTCGGTTCTTCGAGCTATATGGCCGGCAAACTGCCACTTCAGCGTACTAATCAATTGCGCTATGTTGGTTACTCTTGTTCTACTGCGGATATCCTTAATTCTAAGTTTACCACGCAGAGAAACCCCAAGCATAGCCCTCTCCATAGCTCGTTGAGCGACTTTGAACTTCTTCATACGGCCAGCAGTGAAGGACCACGTCTCAGATCCGTAAGTCATCACTGGCAACACGCACTGGTTGTACAATTTCGTTTTTAGGTTTTGAGGTATGTCCAACGAGAAGATGTGTCGTAGTTTCCTGAACGCTTCCCAGCCAAGTTGAATCCGTCGATTGCCCTCTCGGTCGAAGTTGGACTTACCTAGTCGGACTATTTGTTCCAAGTAAACATACTCGTCAACAACTTCGAACTTAGTGCTCCCAACAAACACCGGCATAGGTGTGACATGGACGTTAAACATTTTTTCATTTTTGTTTTTTCCATGTTCATCTTAAGACCTATCCGTTGCGAGACACTATTGAGGTCCTTGATCATAGTGCTCAGTTCCTCCAGCGATTCTGCTATAAGAACTATATGCCCAAATTTAGACGGAATCAAAGGTTTTCTCATAGTCCACATACGCAAGGCAAAGTGGCAGATTATACTCCTTTGTCTTCTGTACAATATTCCGAAGGGTATGTATGTGGTCTATGCTACTAAAGCCTTTTCGGAATCCGGCATGTTCGGTAGGCTGGAAGTCGTCAAGTCTGCGTGCGAGACGATTCGTAATGACTCTCGAAAACAGCACGTAGACGCGGCTCAGAAGGAAAATCGGTCTGTAGTTCTTCAAGAGAGCATTGTCGCCTTTCTTGAAGAACAAGTCCACCGCACTTCTGCTCCACGCCTCCGGAGTAGTGCCACTATGGAGGACGGAATTAAAGAGTTTCTGAAGAAATTCAAGTACCGGTTTTCCACCCGCTTTCAAAAGCTCCGCTGTAATTCCATCCTCACCTGGGGCTCTGCCATTTTTAAGGTGTTGGAGAGCCATTATAGTCTCGCTCAGACTGACGTCCGGGATATCTTCGGAATAGTGTCGGATAAAACTCACTCTTGGATCGTCACTCACACTTGCGTGTGGCTCCAACGATGACGTGTACAGCTGGCCATAGAACCTCTCAATCTCACTCAAAATATCAAGTGTCTCGGAAACGTTGCTGCCACACTCGGTCTTCAGCTTAGACAGTTGTCTCTCTCTAGCAGAAAGATCTCTGGCAAAGATTTTGGAGCCTTGGTTACGCTAGATTGCTTCTTCAATACAAGCTGTATTGAAGTTGCGTAAGTCCCATCGCATGCATTTGGAGATCTGTCTGTTCAGTTGCCTGTATGCTGTCAAATCTGTTCAAGAATGTGGCTTCATTTCCCGTCTAACAGCCATGAGATTAAAAGTGTGATCGGAGTTTTTGTGTTCTTCTGCGGTGGATCTTACAGAACTTAGCTCCGACCGCATGGACAGTTTCCGCGAGCTTGTCATTCATATATATATATTTGAATAATAAACATAAGTATAAAATAAATTTTATTTAATTTGGCTTGTTACATTACTTATAATTATATTCATGCAAGAGAACGCTTATTCGCACGAATATGTCGATCCGAAGATAGTCAGCACTCAAAATGCCAACTTTTTCACCTCACTGTAGCAAATCCGGAAGATTATTCCATGCGTTGAATATAAGTGCCTCAACTCGAGCCATTTCTTTTAAAGCTATTCATTTTTGTTGCGTTACGTACATACATTTCTGGACCTCCAACCCTTTCAAATTGATTATCAACTCTATAGATTTTTAGCTCCACAAAGCTTTACTTTTTAAATCGATCAATTGCATTTCTAGAGATCCAGTATTTTAACAGATTTTTAAATGTTTTTTGTTCTTATAAAATAAATAATATTTGCATATGAAACTAAAGAGCCGCAGCTTCACATCCAAAGAGCCGCAGCTTCACATCCAAAGAGCCGCATGTGGCTCGTGAGCCGCAGGTTGCCGACCCCTGGCCTAAAGGCATTCTCTACCAGTTAACCCATGGAGTGGTGAGAGTTTGTCGTAGGTAGCAATTAAAAGAAAATAAAAAAAAAATTATACATAAATTAATACACAATATATGTAACAAAACAGATTATGATATAATATTATATATATATATATATATATATATATATATATATATATATATATATATATATATAAGAAATATAAACATACATAAATACATATATATATGGATATACATAAATACAAAGTTAATACATACATACAAATACGATTAATTATTAATTTTGTAATTCTAATGATTATTCAGTAAATGCTCGCGTACCTTCTTTTTAAAGGAGTATTTGTTAGGTGCTTTTCTGATATCATCAGGCAAGGAATTCCAAAGACGTGTGACATGTGACATGTGGTCCCATATAATTGATCAAGGTCTGACCAATAGTTATTGAGTTATTAAAAATATATAATTTATATTGAAGTCGGTTGTACAAAATTTTTAAATTTTAAATTATGTAAATAAAAAGTTCATTAATTAGAAAGCTCATTGCTAAGCCACTGCGCCACGGAGCCATCAATTTGCTGATAATAAAAACTTTTGTTTTCAATGTGAGGCAGCTTATGTGTAACCCTGCTTACTAGAAATGAGGGATATCATCTTAGTCCTCATGGGTGACAACGCATCTACATTTTGTTTCTTAATCGAGGATAAATATAGATGCCTATGGACCAAGCATCCACTTACTCTCAGTGGGACTGTGTGCTCGTTTGTCATCCTTATTCTATAAAAAAACCGGTAAATATTTTGTTAAAAAAATTGAATATAACATTGATATCACACGTCTAGTTACTTTTCATGTATTCGCATTTGTAATTACGGCATTTTATTCCATTTGATTTTGTAGTAATCAAAATTAAATGGAATAAAATGGAATAAAATTGCGTTGTCAATCTTAATCACCTTCTCCATTAAACGATGAAACACATTATTATTTATTAACCATTTATCATTATTGCAAAACATACAGAACATTAACCCTTTATAAGCATGCGATACTCGTATTATTGTCTATAATATTTTTTTATAGAATAAGGGTCACAGCCCACCTGATTGTAAGTGGATGCTGTGGCCCATAGACATCTACATTTATCCCCAATTAAGAATCAAACAAATATGCGTTGTCACCCCTGAGGACTAAGAGGGTATCCCTCATTTCCAGTAAACAGGGTCTCCGGTTCTCTACACTCACCACACAAAACACAGCAGCATTAAGCTGCTATTTTACGCAGGTATTTTGTGAGAGCGTGGTCCTTCCCCGGTTAAGCAGACCCATTCGTGCTACAACCATATCATAGCTTTTTTTTTATAGGATAGGGTGACAAACGAGCACACAGTCCACCTGATGGTAAGTGGTTCCTGTGACCCATAGACATCTTCATTTATCCTCAATAAAGAATCAAAATGCAGATGCGTCGTCACCGGTGTAGACTAAGATGGAATGCCTCTTATCCAGTAAAAATGGTCTCCGGTTCTCTACACTCACCATACGAAACACAGCAGTGTTAAGCTGCTATTTTACGCTGGTATTCTGTGAGAGCGTGGTCCTTCCCCGGTCGAGCAGACCCATTCGTGCTACAACTATACTACTAATATAGCTGCAGCGTGGCTCTACCACGTAAAAAAATACTTTACCAATTATTCTTGACAATTACTTATGTGACAAAACTAATACATATTTTATTAAAAAAATAAATATATTTGGCTTCGCCCTGGAATAATTAGCTCATCCGTGATGCATAATATAATGATTATTGATTGTTACTACTCACATATTTTGTTGATATTTGGCACTCGAACTGAACTTAACCTGTTATTTCCAGGATGTCCACCCTGCTTTTCTGGCAGGGCCGCAGTAAGGCCAACGGTGCCCCCAACGGCCGCAACTGGATACACGCTCCTGACGCGCTCGTCAAAGGTCACGTTGCATATCTTGTTAAGGTATGTTTTCATTTGATTTCATTTAGCGAACATTTCAATCTGTTTCAAGTATGCATAAGAATGTTATACTATACTCGCCAACGCAAGAAAGTAAAAAAAAAAATATTAGTTTGTTTAATATATATTGATATAACCGTACCTGATACGAATAATTTTCATTAATGACGGCTCCGTGGCGCAGTGGTTCCGTTAGCAATAAGTTGCGGGTTCGAATGCTGCGCGGAACAAATATTTGTATAGCCTACTAATATTTGTTGTGGCTGTGGATGTTTGTACTAGTGAAATTTATGTGTGTAAACTGCTTCTACGATACATGAGAAAATCCTAGTGTAGAGAGTGGGATATCGCTTTTTTTTAAACCAAGAAGAGGATATATATAATATGTATTATATTGTATATAATTCAATCAAGAGATTCGCGCACCTTTACAGTTATTGAATTATATCCAATGTATGAATCAAACGCTACTCAATTTTAAAGATGTTAAATCTCGTGATGTTTACGGTCACTTTGACTTCTGCTACTCGTACTTTCATAGAACAGGACTGCTTCCAACAATCGCCTGAATCAATTGACGTAAATTGAAATATCAAACACACGATCGTCAAACCAAATCGATTCAATCAATCCCCATTCGATTGGTTTAATTCCGATCATAAAATACCTAAAAGTAGGTGCAAGCGCATTATCAGTACACGTGTCCAAAACAGATGTTCACAGCGAACGCTATCGAATGTTTGGGGGCGTTGTTTGTTTTACTCGTGTGAATGGATCGCTGTATATTGTTTTCTGAATAGGGTTGTCAACCGTTATGTTGTACTAAAGATTTAAATGGAAATATTCGTTAAGTCTTTATTATTTTTAGCTAAAAGATTATCTACAAAATGTTGACACCTATTGTTATTTAGGTTTTAATTTGTTTATTTTCTATAGTTTTCTTTATATATAGAAAATAAACAAGAAATATAGTGTCGAAAAATGTAGTTCCGCTGCTGTATTTCTTTCTTTATATGTATTATTATATTTTGTCAATTGGCGACCCTAGTGTTAACTGTCAATTGAACGCACCCGTGCTCTCGCGAGCGTATTGTTTGCGGAAAACGGCGACCAGCGCGATATCTCCCGATGACCTTTTTGCATAGTCATCTGTTTATTTAATAATAATATAATGAATAGTTAATAGCGACGATCATGCGTATGTATTTTTTCCGTCGGTAATAATTTATAATATGTTAGTACTTATTAGATATGTGCTTGTGATAATAAAATTATGATAGGTAAATATATTCATTTTATAAGTATATTATATTAAATTCACAAGTAACAAAACGCCATTAGTACCACGCGGTGGTATCATTAACATTTTGTTATATAAGTCTGAATTTATTGGTATACCTATAATAAGATAATTTAAACAGGGCCGCATTGATTAAGCATATTTTGCTAAAAAAGTTAAAATACTATAGCTCTACACTAGTTTTAAAAAAAACATTTAAATTATACAAAAACATAAGAATTAGGCCTTGACAATAACTCCGCCCTAAAGTCTAATACAATCTAAGTACTGAAGATAATTCAACAAATATTACGTATTCGGTTATATCAATCATATTATATCCATCACGAACTGACAAACAAAAACCGCGAAATATGAACTATATATGTAATTACTTTTGTGTTTGTTTGCCGTAAATTTTGACGTAATGTAAAATGACACTTCGATTTACACTGCCCATACAAATGCGTTATTTTTTAAATAAAAGTAGGGGTGACAAACTGACAAATAAGCACACAGTTCACTAAAAGGTTGGATGGATGGGAGTGGATGTTGTGGCCCATAGACACGTACACTTTTTATCGATTAAGGAACAAAATACAGTTGCTTTTTCACCCCTGAAGGTTACTACGTTAAGTGGAAAATGTCTCGTTACCACTAAAAAAGGTGCTTGGTTCTCGTTTCTCATTATTCAAAACAGCCATATTATGCTGCCATTTCACAATGCTATCACACAGAATCGCACAGAAGTGCAAACGTGGTCCTTCTCCGGTCGAATCTACCCATTCCCATTTATTACTGCCATAATTCACTGCAGCGTGAAGTATTCCATCTTTATCCTCACATTGTGTAGCCTTTTTTGTTTAAAGTTAGTAGAAACATCATACCGATTAGCAGTCTAGCTTCAAATAGTTCATTTAATATAACCACACACAAATACTTAGTAAATAAAAGTAATTTAATGATTTATGAAAACTACGTCTTACTGATTGACTATCTCGCTCTCTCTCTCTCTCTCTCTCTCTCTCTCTCTCTCTCTCTTACGGCTTGGTCTCTCGTCTCTCTTACTGCAGTTTTAATATGTTATTAATATAATAATATCCATATTTTTAATAATATAAATGTGAAGTAGTGCGTATATTATGTATATGTAATCTATCTATCTATCTATCTTACTATAATAAAACTAACACGCATCACGCAATAATCTGTGAATCGATTTGGATGGGACTTTCACTGGCAGATAGCTGATGTTATAAGGAGTAACTTAGGTTATTATATATATATATATATATATATATCTCATGAAATACAATCGCAATAAATTCCACGCGGGTGAAGTCGCGGGGAACAGCTAGTGAAAGGGTTCAACAGACGGGTGTCAACTGGAGAGTGACCTTCTAGCCCAAGAAACTGATATCACACCACGTTGGGTTCGGGTACAACGAGGTGGGCGTGACTCCTGAGGTGTGCTACTCAAAGTCAGTCTGTCACCCTTTCTTAAAAGAAAGGTTAGAGGACTAAGATTACGGGTCACTATGGACTGTAATCGTTATGAAGGTGCAGTAGGAAATAAAACATCAATTTTATCTTCGTAATTTCTCCACAACAGTGCACAATTGAAACTTTCACTACTTTTCCTATCACTTTCCCTACTGTCTTATCTCTTGATTTAAACTGTAAAACTAGCAGCTGGTCCCGAACGAATTTCCGTTCGTTCGTTCGTATCGCCCAAGGCGCACTTGTGCCCCGATGGGTATCGGGGGATTTCCCGCATGACCCGGACTTCCTCTCAGAGGAGACACTGCTCCTACGGTCCTTCACTCCTTCTCCCTACACTCCTTCTACGGTCTTGGGTGCCTTGATTGGCATGTTGGTGTGGGCCAATTTATTGAGGTGCGAATGTGGCGGCCCATTGTCTGCACGATCGAATAGCCCGCGCGACAATCGGGTCACGAACTCTTGTAGATCTTCTATTTTCAGGTTCCTCGCTATCACGGCGTTCTGGACATATCGTCCGGCTCCCACGATGGCCCTTGATTTTGTTGGACTTGAAGTCGCTTTTTATGTGTGGCACTGGTGAGCGCATACCAGGCTAGTGCTGCGTACGGTAGTTTTGATCGAATGTAGGTTTTATATATTGCCAGTTTTGTTCTTATTGGCAATTTGGATGACAGCGCTGGTCTAAGGAGTGCCAGCGCCGCTCTCGCCTGGCGGATTGCGTGTTCTACCTGGCTAGAGGCGCGCAGTGAGCAGTCGATGTGACATCCAAGGTATATTATTGTAGTTTTCCACTCTAGGTCCTGATCTTGGAGTTGGAGTGGTGGTGGTTTGTTTTTTCTTAGGCGGCTAGTCAGTAGAGCGGCCTTCTTCCCCACGTTAACAGCCATCCTCAACTGGTCTAGCCATGGCGGCAGCAAGTCAAGCAATCGTTGCATTTTCGTAGCAGCTATGTTTGCTCGACAAGAAAAGGTTAATTTATTAAATAAAATACGCGCTATCATCGGCGTATAGTGCAAGTTGAATATCTTCTTCCCACTCTTGGAGGTGATCTTCCAGTGTGGAGATGTCGTTTGTGTATATCGCGTATAGGGGTGGCTATACACAACTGCCCTGGGATACACCAGTGAGAATGGGTCGTGTTGCCGATGTTGCTTCTTCGACACACACGTAGAATAATCGTCCCCGAAAAAATGACTCAATTAGTCGCACGATAGCCGGCGGTAATTTGGTGTCATATATTAGTTTGTTTATTAACCCGTCGTGCCACACACTGTCGTACGCCTTTTCCATGTCAAGGAAGACGTCAAACGCTATGGGGCTTTTGTCGCAAAGTAGTACAGCACGCGGGTCAGCTGGGTCGTTGTAGAGTGGCCGCTTCGAAATCCGTGTTGTTTCGCCCTAAACTCTATATGTGGGCGGATCCTTCATAGCAGCATCCTTTCAAATAATTTCGCTATGTGCGACAGCAGTGTGATGGGATGATAACTCGCAGCGTGGCGCCTATCCCTTCCTGGTTTCGGCAACATGATTATTCTCCCGAGTTTCCATTCACAGGGGAAGTGGCCGGTGCGTAGTACTCCATTGTAGAGTCGTGTTAGGCTGACTACAGCCTTCCTGGGCAGCTGTCTTAGGGCTGCGTCCGTGATCCCATCATGCCCCGGAGCTTTCCTGACTTGGGAGTCGTGCTATCATCTAGTGGTGGTAGAGGGTGCCATAGGAATTCCGTCACATAGTTTTCAATTTCCTGGAGTTAGGTGCTTCCATGTGGGGGGTGAACTGCTAATCCAGATATTCTATTAGGATCTTTGCTCTTTCGGTGGCCTCGTAACATCGACTGCCCTCCTTGTTAATAAGCGGGCAAACTGGGGTCTTGGTAGCGACCAAGACCCTAGTTTGCCCGCTTATTAACAAGGCTGAACCGGCAGCTCATAGCGATGAGCTGCCGGTTCAGCTGGTGGAGCGACTGTTCCCGATCTCCAGCTTCATCGATGCGTCGCTCCCATGCTTCCCCTCTGTGGGTCTTCATTGCATTAGACAGTTAAAGAATTTCCAAATTACCAGTTTACTATCCTAGTTCGCGAGCTATACGAGAAAGAGAACCGCGCGTCGCGCGCCATTTAGACATATTTTAACATTGACTCTCATCATTGCACCCTTGTATTTTGCCCCATATCTTTATTTCTTTAAAACATATGGTTACCTAATTTTATTTATAAGAAACACATACAAAGTCTTATCATTATGTTATACATTACATCGTCATCAGATAAAAATATATTTAAGATATTCAACACAATACACCTATTTTACAGAACATTTTCAAAGTTATAAATCTTAAATATCTAAACACACGTAGTCAAAACAACAATCTTTATTAATAATATGAAAGAAGTGATAGGGGTGTGTCAGGATAATAGATTAATAGATCAGAATGGTGGCAAATGGAGGTCCGTAGTCTCTGTCCACCCCTCTGGGTGACAGGCGTGATGAATTTATGTACTTATTATTATGTATTAAGTTAAACTAAATGCTATTTTTGTAAATACGCAATATAACCCGTGGAATATCAAAGTCAAGCGCTCTATAAATATCAAAGAGAGGAAATGAGGTTGCATTTATGCCGAGTTGGGTAACCATTTCAGTAACCATTTACTTTCAAAAGATGCCATAGATAAAACTAAATTTTTTAGGCCCTAGCAGAACATACCTGTGCGCTTCGCGCCTAAGGTATGCAATTGTAATAATGAGTTACTAAATAAACCATTTTCTTTCAATTTGGATGGACATCTGTTCTCAGGCTGCAGTAATACTTACATCCAGTGACAAAGGCGTATTAAAACCTTGCTTGTTACTAACTTTAAAGGTTACTAAAAAATATGATGGTAACATTAAATAAATTCTTCTTCATTCAAACAGTCTACTGGTGGATATGGAACCACCTGACGTTTCGCATCAATTACGCTCCTCCTTGTCGCCAGCCTGGGAATACCCAGTTCAATATTACCATAAAAATTTAAAGTTTCAAGCTATATACGTCCCACAGCTGGGCCTTGCCCCTCTCCTTTTTGAATGCGTGTTGCTTCTAATTGAAAATAAGAGCCGACTCTAAAAAACTAATAATAGCCTGCTTAATCTAAGACTATTAAGAATAAAATTATTTCACATATAAAATGTTTAATGCTCTTACCTTTACCTCACCCCTAATATCACATAATCAAATGTCGTCTAAATAACTACATTATAAACTTCACCCCTATTTTCCCACCCCTTTGAATTGGTTTCTCAACTGCATATGGAACCACCCCTAAAGTATAATCTATTTAATAAAAAAGGAATTATTAAGATTGGTTCACAATAAACGAGGATATCGCGAAACATACATACAAAAAATACAGTTGAACTTGAATATTTTGAAGTCAGCTAACAAAAAGAGACCTTCCCTTGACACTATTTTATTTGTTCTTCATAACGTTCTTATGCGGCAATTATTGCAGTTACGTAACGCTGCATGTGTATAATTACCTATTGTTTTAATACAAATTTGAAGAGGTTGCGGTTTTAGACGTAGGCATTCATAAAATTGCAAATTCAGCTCAGGTTTTAATATTTTGAAAAGCATAATATCGTATCCTTTCGAAAGTATAGATTTCAAACATCCACAAAGTCTTGTACAAATATAGCGTAAATGTGTTTAACGAAATACGGTTTGTGTAGAATCGTTTAGCAAGAAATATGATTCGCAATTGAATGAATTGAATTGCATATTTCCCATAGACTGAGAAGATGATTATGCCTAGCGTAGTATATATACATATATTATGTTCTGTATATAGGCAAAGGCGGATTAAACGCCGATAACACTCTAGGCTAGCACCACATCGGCGCCCGTCTAGCCGTTATAACTACGTTTTTGCAAATAAACTACAATATAATTTATGATATAATTTGTTTAGTTGCAAAATAATTAAGACATGTCACAGGTGGACATGTATGAAAAATGTGATAAGAGAGAGGGCGCTGAAGGAGTAATCAAGTAGACGGGGCGCGGAAGCTCTACATCTTTATAGAATGTTTAATTTTCTATTGTTTGTAAGTTAACTTAGTTATTCCCTTATTAGTTTGAAAACTTCCGCGTACGCCCATTTGAAACCTTGCGCCCCTAGGCACGTGCCTAGTTTGGTTTAAGAATAATCCACCACTGTATATAGGCTACTTTATATAAAGATATGCGAAGATTACGAATTTTAATGTCGGTCTATTTCGGCTTTTTGCCTTTATACTTTTCCTACGTGGTGGGACTTTTTTTCCGCCTAGAAGATAGTCTGGTAGGTACCTTGCTATATCTGCCTACAAATAGCACTGTGTTGTAGTCGGAACCGAATAGAGACAGGTTTTGGCGGGAACTTGACCGGCGGCGGATTGCTGCTCCTGTATTATTGTTTAAATAATATTTTGAAGTAGATTTTGATATGTAAAAGTGGTGCGGTTTTGTGTATTAAGTGTCTGCGTATATTATCTATTAATGGAAACGGTGAAACAAGTGCTCTGATGGTGAGGTGATTCTCAAGACAAGGTGTCTACTTAGGCGCCTTGAGATACCATCGCCAACTGTCACATGTCTGTACACTTGATGGTAAGTGGTTGCTGTGGTCCATAGACATTCAAAACTCGACCCATTCGTGCTACAACTATGCCACTAATATAGCTGCAACATGGCTCTACCACATAAATCTGTTGCATTCTTTGTTTGAAGTTGGCTGGAGGTGTCCATGGGCTGTTGTAGTTACACTTTATACTTTCTCGTCGGTAAAGTATAGTCTTGATAAGGCTTTATGTGCCCTGGTTCATGAACACTAGATTAAGTAGGAAATTAGTTACTACTGCTCATAGACTCAGATCTGGACACGTTCCATGTAAGAAATTTGTATTTCTAATGAGAAAAACAACTTCGTCCAATTGTGAAGACTGTGGAGTTAGAAGACTGTGGAGTTATAGAAGACCTATACCATATATTGATGGAATGTGTTCGATTTGAGTCTATTAGAAGTAATTTCGTAAGGGTCTTGAATTTGAACAGAACTGACGTAGGCACATTCCATAATATTCTATCCCAACCAAATGGCGACGATGCGAAAGTTTTGTTCGAATCCATGGCCCATGTAGTTATTAAGTAGTGTTATATGAGTAAGTCATCTATATTAGGGTATGATGGGACTGACATACCCTAAGCGGTAAATGTCCCTTAAATTATAATAGAATAAAAAATTAAAAAAAAAGGCTTTAGGGATTCGCAATTTGATTGTGGTACGATTGTCGAGTTTAACTCCTTCCAAAAGTGTTACACTATATCAGTGATTCCCAAACTATTTTGTGCAAGAGACCCCTTTTCCAGAATGAACTGTTACCTCACACCCCCATAGCCAAATTACTTTAAAAATCCTATATCTAGTTTTTAAAAAGTACAACAATGATACTTCCTACTAAAATATTATTCATTCTTATAACGAGTTGGTACACGTAACACAACTTATACAGTATCTTGAAAGTTGGATCGATTTTTAGACTTCGTCGACCTCCAAAATTAGTTTTCGTTTATGTCGACCCCTGGTAAACCGATTTCGACCCAAAAGGGTCGATATCGGCCACTTCGGGAATCCCTGCACTATTTCTTTTTTATAGTATAGGGTGACAAACGAGCACACAGTCCACCTGATGGTAAGTGGTTGCTGTGGCCCATAGACATCGACATTTATCCTCGTTTGCGAATCAAAATGCAGATGCGTTGTCACCCGTGAGGACTAAGATGGAATGCCTCGTTTCCAGTAAAAAGGGTCTCCGGTTCTCTACACTCACCATACGAAACACAGCAGCGTTAAGCTGCTATTTGACGCTGGTATTCTGTGAGAGCGTGGTCCTTCCCCGGTCGAGCCGACCCATTCGTGCTACAACTATACTATTTATATAGCTGCAGCATGGCTCTGCCACGTATAGTGTGCTAGTAACAAAACTTCAGTTATTGCATTAGTGCTGGCCCATATTGATAATATGTTATTTTAATTACTTCCAGTTCCTAGGCTGCACCCAAGTGGATCAGCCCAAAGGCATCGAGGTAGTCAAGGATGCAATCAAGAAACTCCAGTTCACACAACAGCTGAAAAAGTCGGAGGCGAAAGATGGAGCCAAATGCAAGAAGGTCGAAATTACGATATCAGTTGACGGTGTTGCTATACAGGTCAGTACAATAACACACAGACAATAATATTGAGCTCAAGGAGAGAATTTTAATATTTATAAATAATTATCCACGCATAATCATGAGAATACAAGAACATTGTATTGTTACGTAATTCACATCTGTATTGTATGTTGTATTAGGCAGCCCCAAACATTAGCGTAACGGTGTACTCACCAACAACAGTATTTTGCGTAACTATGCTAGAAGCGGTAAATCACCCGGATTTTTTAAGAGTATTATTTATTCTGTGATTATACCGTCATACACGTGACGTCATTAAATCATCATCATAACTTATCTAAAAATACTAGCACTGTTTACTAAATTTCGAGTGGATCAAAGTAGAAAGGTAGATGGAGCGCCGCCTACATTTCGAGTAACGCAAAAACCATGCTCAAATTCACACGCACTCACGCACACATTTTTTTGTTTCTTTCTATATCAGCCCGCAACAGTTCTGCTGAACGCACACATATGCACCTATAACCGTGTTGTTGGTTCCAAATGAATTTCGATGTATTTATATTTAATTTTAATTGTTATATGTATATGTCACAGCCAACTAGTTCAAGCCTAGAAATTACATGACATGTCACCCTATTAACTTCATTTAGCGAGACGGTGACTAGTTTGTGCCTATTATGCTTTACGGGCTATATTATATCAATGAACGCGGCTTTAGGGTGGCCCAGGGGCTCAGCTAATGTATACACTACATATTACAAGATATGTGCAATGTTGCATCATCATCATTCATCATCATCATTACAGCCCTTCACAAGTCCACTGCTGAACATAGGCCTCCCCCAAAGAATGCCACAAAGCACGGTCCCGAGCCACCTGCATCAATCGACTTCCTGCATATCTTACCAGGTCGTCACTCCATCTAGTGGGGGGACGCCCTACACTTCGCCTGCCGGTACGAGGCTGCCACTCGAGAACCTTTCTTCCCCATCGGTTGTCGGTTCTTCGAGCTATATGGCCGGCCCATTGCCACTTCAGCCCACTAATCCGTTGGGCTATGCTAATGCTAATGTTGCATCGGCTGAATATAATTCACGCCGCTAGTTGTGAACGGCGCCGTTTTGTAAAAAGGCTGGACTGTTAACTGAAAGGCTAATTAAGGTAGTTGGCTGCGACATATACGTGAGTGATTGTTCTTAGAATAAATTGAGCATGTGTTTGGCTAGGTTTTTTTTATAGTATAAGGGTGACAAACGAGCACACAGTCTCCACCTGATGGTAAGTGTTTGCTGTGGCCTATTGACACCTACATCTATCTTCGTTTGCGAATTAAAATGCAGATGCGTTGTCATTCGTGAGGACTAAGATGGAATGTCTCTTTTCTAGTAAAAAGGGTCTCCGGTTCTCTACACTCACCATACGAAACACAGCAGCATTAAGCTGCCATTTTACGCTGGTATTCTGTGAGAGCGTGGTCCTTTCCCAGTCGAGCCGACCCATTCGTGCTACAACTATACTGCTAATATACCTGCAGCTTCGCTCTACCCCGTCTGAAAACGTTGGTTTTTGCGTCCTTTAAAATATTTACGCAGCACTCCGTCTTTCGATCTTTGTCGGTCTCAGATACAAATATCGATGTCAAATAAACGATAATTATTATAACCATTATAGTAAATCATTTCAACGGGATGGTTATATGCAATTATCTGGTTGCTTTTGGCAAATGAAGTCGGTGAAACAAATTAATAGTGCTTGTTTCAGTATTACTGTAAACGTATTTAACAATATAAACATTTTTAAATAAACGTATAATCAATATTAAAAAAAAATTATAACTACATAACTTAATAATTACCTCACTTTTGTTTTTGACAGATTGATATAAGTCGAACGTTATCGCTATGTTTGGAGATCGGGACGGCATTTAAATGAAAATTTTATTTTCTTTTATTATTAATGTTTTATTACATCCTATCAAGTCTAGAGTTGAATAAATACATCCCCCATAGATAAACAATATAGGGGGATAGGTGCCATATTTGCCACGCTTGGCTCGGGTTGGCACCCGAACTTTATTATTATTATTAAGTTGTTATCATGCTAATGTTTTACGTGGTAGAGCTATGCTGCAGCTATATTATGATGATGCACAAATGGGTTGACTCGACCGAGGAATGAATACGCTCTCACATTACTTTGATTCTTGATCGATGTAGATGTCTATGGGCCACAGCATCCACTCACCATTATTGTGATTGACTGTTTGCTCGTCACACCTGTTCTATAAAAAAAGATGCAGCTGCCAATATCTTATTTAAGTTTCCCTTTGTCGCCTCTTACGGCACCCACGGGTTGATATGGGTGATTGGCAGTTGAGTTTATGATGACACCATTACACGGTAGCATTTTAATTTATATAAATATAAATATATTCACTTCAGGTCTATGTTATCTATGAAAATAGAATTTCAAGTTTTAACCGTCACTGTATGTTAATAATTCATTATTCATCACGCATGTGAACGGTAATTCGCTCGCAAAAAATGGCGGCGCCCTGCGTTTTTATGTGATTTCACTTTCCACTCAACTTCACCCGCCTCACTGCTACCTAAAGCTAGAGTTGATTAAAAATTAAAGATTATATTACAGTTTTCGACAGTCTTTATTATCCTCCCTATGATAATATGGAAGTTGAAATTACAATCGTTAATGGATTTATCCAAAATAATTTTAAAATGCAACGTTTAAATATTTAAATCATCATCAGATTATATGTGGCCTTCTGTTGGAAACAGACTTCTATTAAATTCAAAAGGGTTTTTATAATTGCCACGTTGGCGTAATGCCAAACCACTCTAACTTTAAACGTCGGCCTTAAATATGCACACCATCTAGAATAATTTAGGCAGACATGAGGCTTGTGGAGAATATTATACTAAGCGAAATGCCAGAAATACCGATCTCAGTCAGTTGGAATGCGAGCCTTGTGTTTAGCCTTACACTGTTATGAGGAAGAGAAGTGATTCTCTCTTTAGAAGGGACCGAAATTGTGTGCCTGAGTGTAACATTATGGGGTATAGATGGTAAAAACACGGGTAGAAACTCAATCTAACCCGTGACGGGTTACAAAACTACCGCGAGGCGGATTTACTTCAGGCTTTTCTCTATGAAAAAAATGTTTACCAGTGTACTTTTGACCTTTTTTTTTAAATTTTAAAGAATACTTACATTGATAGTTACTATAGTATAATATGGTCGATATTCATATAGTTATCGATAATCGCAATCGAATTATACACGATAGCAATTCTATCTATTCAGTTTGTATTACTTCTTTCAGCCTTTATTGCATATTATGTATTATTTTCTCGTTAAGACTGTAATAAGTAATATAATCATTTTATAATAACGATTTCTCTAAATGTATATGTCGTGAATAATAAATATTATGTACATATTTGACACAACAATGCTTAATTTTCTTATTTCAATATAAGGTCAAATTATGTACAAGAGTAGTTTGTATACGAGTTAATATAACATACAGAGCACTGATTGTCTAGTCAAACTAGTTGCAAAAAGAGTAAAACCTCGGAATGAGAAATAATATTTATAAGATAGGAACTTGCTTAAAAACCTTTGTTTTAGCATTGTTTACGTTAACTGAAGTCTCATAGAATCTCGTACACGCAAGTCAAGCTATTTAAGATCAGGGGGCCGTAAATATCCGTTTTTTTTTTTAAAAACACGCGGACCCATTTTTCGAATAAACTGGAGTAGAGGGACATTTGAAATTTCAACATTTGTAGGTTTACATTATAATAGCCGTAGATTCAAAATAAATTATATCTGGCCAGTTTCTCATAAATAAATAAAAACTTTTGTACAAATCTTTCTGGGTATCTCGTACCGTCGTACAATAATTAATAAGTTCTCGAGAATAATTAATAAGAGCGCGAAGAGTAAAAATGTCAACTGTAGAATCCAACCAAAAACAATCGAATAAAAAGGATGGCAGTTTATAAAGCAAATTATTTACTCAAATATTATAGTAATAAGGAAACATTAATTATCTTAATATGTTTCAAAATCGGAACATAGTATCAAAAATTTTCGATATATTAATTTCGATATGTAGAAAATATTACCAGAGGCCAACTTTGTAGAGAATTTTATGCTTTAGACCTCTCTTTTACTCAAAATATCATTTGAAACAAAGAAAACAAGATATAAAACAACAATACACACAATCGATTTGCAAAGACCAAAAAAAAACATTTTTGCCAGCTTTTCCATATCTTCACTCGCCTACATGAAATTCAATGAGATTTTTGAGGTAACTAATAGAATCAAAGTTTTATACGATTATATGGCTTGTTATCTCTCATTGTGACGTTAATTCCCTATTTGACTGGACTTGACGTCTAAGACCTTATATTTAAATATTTTCGACTGACGAACATCCACACAACATAATTTTCCAGGAATATTGGAGGTTTGTTTACTTAAACTTTTAACATTTTCGTAATGGTAAAAATTGATTTTTTTTATATCGTGGTGAAAAGCAAACCAACAATTTAATATGAATATTCTGGAACGCCACTTTGGTTTACATAATGCAGATGTATTTGTTCAAAAGTCGGAACACGTTTACCGCTACGTAACTAGTTTAGTTAAATTTAACCGAGTTTGTGTAATAGTTTCACTTTATGTAATACCTGAATGGCCTTGTTGAGAGACGGTGTCGGTGAAAAATGTCTGCCGCTGTATTCTTGGTTTATTATGCCCTGGTAAACAAAGGAGATGCTAAATCTCTCACCGTGTACCAGCGGTTTCAAAAGTAAAGAAAGCTTAAACCTAACGACATAAGTGACAAAAAAATCTTGATTCTTGTTCTTTCTTGTCAACTGTTCACTCGTTAAACATTGCTTTTTCTTTTAAAAAAAAAAGCAGAACCCAGTGTTTAACCATAATCCCTATAAAAAATCCCAAGAGATCCAATATGATACAATCATAGCTTACTATTCTAATGT